TTGAACTAATGTAATATTGCACTTTGAGAAAAATATTTTTGACATACTGAAGAACACTGCCTTTGTTGGTGATAACTAATTTCACTATTTGTTTTCAGCATAATGATCAGTAATAACAGATACAGTGGAATCCTGATTGTCAACTTGCTTAAAGTCAACTCTTGCTTACAGTCAACACCTCACTGTAGTCCCGTTTTTTACCTTCTTTGTTCAAGTAATTTTTAGTAGATCTAATTGTGTTTCTGATACAGTCAACCACTAGAGTGTTAAGCTTGCGTAAAGTCAACAATTTGGGGCTAAATCCCAAGATGAATTCATTTAAGAAGAGATATCTCGCCCGAGCTAGTGGTGTACACACCTCCAATTAGAATCTAATTTGTTCTTTCATTATCTCTTGTTTTGGTGACAACTTCAGAATTACCAGGTACTTTATAATTTTGTAGCAGTCATCTTCAATTTTCAATGGCCAGTAGTACAATGGATAAAGTCAACCTTGCTCAAAGTCAACATTTTTTTTCTGTTTTTATGGTTTTTATTTGTAATTTAAGGCGCCTTTGTCATTGACATGAGTCTCAATTTTTTCATCATTACTAAGAAAGAGCGTATGCAACATTTTGCTTGAATGATTTAACTCTTGTGAGGTAGCGTGGTGAAATCAGGCGCTCGTCAAAGTAATGAAAATGAAAAAACTGGCATTTTTCCGCAGGTCTGGGAACTTTTAATGGATTTTTGTTTTTCCGCTAAACACCTTTTACGTCCATATAATAACAGATTTCCAAGCGTATTTTACTGAAAAACGTTCATTAAATGCACAAAATATGTTATTTTTCAGTTTTAAAGGCTCTCAAGCTATTGAAGTAATCAAACTTTGGCGGCCGTTTTCTCACTAAATTTACCTCTGAAATCAGGTGACCCACACCTCCTTCAATTGCAAATATTTCGACCTCTATCCAGCATAGATGAATATCGTTTTCATCAAAAGGAAGGCAAATGGACAGGCTTTAAGATGATATCAATAACTCCGTATGCCTCAAAACTGACGAGCGCCTGATCCCACCATGTCGTGACACCTATTATTCTTTAGTGCATATTATATTATTGTGTGCATGTATGTGTATGCATGTTTTCCATTAATATTATGCAATGCGCATAGAACAATGATTGTTTCACAGATTTGCGCTATATAAAATATGTCATATTATTTTTGTAATATTACGGGGGTTGGGGGGGGGGGGCAAATGTAAGAAAAGTGTAAGAAAGGGGGGGGGGTCAAAAAGTCCCAAAAATGGTGTAAGATTATATTTGAACAGCCCCGAACAAGAAGGTGGGAGAAGGAGGTGAAGGAGGCAAAGGTGTTGTGAGTATGTGTGTGTGTGTGTAGGGGGGGGGAGACTTTTATAGGTATAATTAAGTCTAGAACTTCGAGAGACCGACAGACAAAGAAGGAGAGAGAGAGAGAGAGAGAGACAGACAGACAGACAGACAGACAGACAGACAGACAGACAGACAGACAGACAGAGAATAAAGAGACAGAGAGACATACAGAAAGACAGACAGAGAGAGAGAGAGAGAGAGAGAGAGAGAGAGAGAGAGAGAGAGAGGTTGAGAGATGATATTTCTGACAACAGCATCCGCCTCAAAGCCTCCCATCCGTGACCCCCGAAGAGACAGCACAAGTTACCAACACAGACCCATCATACCACCGAACCTGTATAAGACGACCATCCACCGTCGATGAGAAAAAGGAGGTCGTTTTAGACAGGTGACCGTCTCAGCAAATGTGTACGTCATCTATAGGCCTACATATATCTTTGTGAAAGTTCGTCACTTTCGCCGCCTAAAACTTCCGAACCATTAAAGACAGTTTTATTGAGGAATCTGAACTCACTGTAGGTTTTTTTTTGTTTTGTTTTTGTAAAGTGTTTTACGGCGCTCGCAACTGCATAAGGTCATATGAGCGCGCGGGACACACCTAATAATTTTAGTTGGTAGGAAATTTTGAATTTTGCCTGGGTGGCGGCCGAAGCCTACTCTTATCGATTTTAGACCATCAAGGGATCTTTAACGTGCACAACTTGCACACGGGCCTTCCGAGATTTTTCGCCCTTGTCCGAGAAGGCTAGGTGTAGATCTTTCCTACCAGAAGATCAGGGGTGTGGCAGAAAGAAAGCAGTAAGAAGAAGCGTAGGAGCAGCAGTAGAAAGGCTGCAGAAAGAATCAGGAGCCCAGAGGAAGGGGCAAAGGAGGTGAGGGGATGGGGGCAGAAAGAGGAGACGAAAACAGACGACAGAACATTGCTAGAGAGCAGGAAATGAGGTGAAAGGAGACAAATTTAGAGAAGAAAATTTTTCGGTCGCTACCCGGATTCGAACCCGGGACTTTTTGAACGAGAGGCCAACACTTTAACCTCTATGCCACGAGAGCTCCCTCACTGTAGTTTAGTTTTTAGTTTTTCCTTCGTTTCGGTTAGATTTTATCTTGCGAAAGTCCGTTTTAGACGCAATTGTGAACAAGTGACGCTTGCGTTTACAAGCTGGGCGCACTTTTTCCACAATGACTTGATGATCGACGATTCTTTTAAGTCCGTTCATCCAACGTGTATCCAGCTAGTTTTGAATAATTTAATTATGTGAAAAAATACGCAAGAGAGGAAAAGGGAAGTGGCCATTTCGCCTGACCTAGCATCTGCGTTTGTTGCCATTTTTTTTGTCCAGAAGTTGCCAAAAATTGCCTCAAAAAGTGGCAAAAGTTGCCAAAAAAGTTGCCATTAATTTTCAAGCTGTCGACTCTCTGTGACGACGTATATTATAGCAATATGTTGATAGAGGTAACAATCTAAAGCACCCAAATTTCTGGTGCTCTGTTTTAAGCGTCCAGAATAGGATTTGTACTCACACAGAGTGTAAACGCGTGAAAAATACAGGTTTCACAATAGAATTAAATCAAAATTAGAACAGCACGGATAAATAACCACAAAAATTAACAAATTAGTGCGCGTGTCCACCTATCCAAAGATTAGCTGTTTTAAACCTAAACGTGTGTAATTCAAGAAAAAGTAGGCCTACAGGATATTAGACGTAAATTATGGAATCACTCACAATTGGGGCGTGCCAGTGTCAGTATTCGGTTTTGGTGGAGACACGCTCTAACATAACACTTTTAAAAATATTTTTAAAAGGGTATGAACAGCATTAAATTAAGTGACATTATGCTGTATAAACACAATTTTTTAAAAGAAAGATTAACACACCAACAAATTAAAACACAACAAAGAGGGGGAAATAAAAGACAGACAGCAGTACAAATAGTATGTAATGTAATGTACATATATTCTCCGCCTGAAAATAGATACACCTGAACACCTTAAAACTTATCAAAATACATGTTTAATATGTTATGAAGTAGCTTTGTTGTTTTGTCTTTTTTGAAAAATGCAAAAATCGCGGCCGCGACAAACGCAGATGCTAGCCTATTACGAGAATTACAAAGTTCTATCTGCTCTGTGCATCATGTACCTAGTTTTGAGAAATTTGACGTAAACAGTTTTGGGTTTCACAATATTTCTTCTTCTTTTTCATCTTCTTCTTCTTCTTCTTCTTCTTCTTCTTCTTCTTCTTCTTCTTCTTCTTCTATCCCGTGGTTGGGGCAACCGTTGGGGCACCACTGCTTCTGACAACCAGCTCTCGCCATTTCTCTCTGTCCTCTGCTTTCCTCAGATTGTCACCCATCGTCTTTCCAATCCATTCTGTGATGTTGTCCTCCCATCTCCTTCTCTGCCTTCCTCTCTTTCTCTTTCCCTGTAGGGTTTCTTGTAGGATTGTTTTGGCAAGTCCTGTGGATCTTGTGACATGCCCATACCATTTTAATTTTCGTCCCTTTACTATGGTCAGAAGATCTTCACGCTGCCCCACGGCGTTTATAATCCTACTGAAGCAAAAATCATTGAGTAGCTTTCCGGAACTGATGGAAAATCCCTCAAGGATCCGCCACCATGATAGTAAAAGGTGTTATAATAAATTGTGACGTCATGAGGTGCTTGCGAAACGAAAAAAGCGTATGACACATTTTATTATAGTGTCGGAAATGGTAGTTGTGAAATAATGTCCATCCAATCTGCTCTACAATAGGCTAATCTAACCGGAATCTCTCCAAGACACTAACCTGTATAAACGACCATTCACACCCCCATCCCTTTTTTTCCCCCATTGCCGGGTTGTTTTGTTTTGTTTTTGTGTTTTTTAAATAAAAATATTTTTTTAAAATGTGTATGACTGTGTCAAATATATAAAATAATCTTCATCCATCCTGCCCTCATAATATAATGTGCTTCCCTTCTACTTCTACGTCGTAGACTATCTTGATCGAGAACGACCGGGGATGGAGAAATAAAAAAAAAAGTATTTAAAAAAGAAAAGAAAGTTATATTATGTAGGCCTACCTTTCAGTTCGTGGGAAGAAACGGTTCTTCTTCTTTTTAAATGTCTTTGCGTTACGCTCTACTTCTCGGGAACTCCTTCTTGCTAACATGATCTTAACTCTTTAAAACCTTATCCGTACGTAATGGGATAATTTTGTACCCTCGAAGTTGTATTCTTCACGTTTTAGAATACTTCTAGTACGAAGATCTTTTTTAAACTTTCAGTAAATTTCTTTTTTTTAAATCGTTTTTACAGACTACTAGTGCACGGATCGGATTAAAGAGTAAATTTCCTCTTTGAAAAGTGGTGGCACAGAGTTCCCCATGTCGTATGGATATGATAGTAAACACAACTTACGGATAGGTTAAGTGGTGGCACAGAGTTCCCCACATCGTACGGATACGATATATAGTAAAACACGAATTACGGATAGGGTTAAGTGGTGGCACAGAGTTCCCCACATCGTACGGTTACGATAGTAAAACACGACATACGGATAGGGCTGAGGACGCTTCGGACATATAAGTACGACAACAGACTAAAGGCACATTTCGAATAATAATACAAAATACATACAACAGAAACACGCATTTTCATAATTTTGTCATAGATCTAGTACCGGTCTGAACTTGTTGCTTGCCTTTTTACGTTTCAATGAATCGAAGAAAACAGCTTGGAAATAATATGATCTGCACGGAAAAAGAAGGTATACTTCAAAATGGCGCGTCTTCAATCGTTGAATGACGGGAGTGCGCCTCCTCTCGTCTAAGGAGTTAAACGGAGGCTTCAACTTCAGGTTCATCAAAACAAAACAGGATTTAAAAACTTGACCTGTTCAACTCTACGTTTTGCTTGCATGACCTTTGTTTTCCGGTGCAGAAGTGCTTTAGGAGTCCAGTGTCTTCGACTCTCTCTCTCTCTCTTTCTCTCTCTCTCTCCCCCTCTCTCTCTCTCTCTCTCTCTCTCTCGCTCTCACTCTCTCTCTCTCTCTCTGTATCTCTCCCTCTCTCTCTCTTTCTCTCTTGCTATCTCAATTTCTCTCCCCCCCCCTCTC